CTAAGTCCCCTACTCCTGGGTAAACTGTAGAGGCCTGTTCACAAATGAATAGCTCCTGAAAGAAAAAAGGCCCTGTGGAGGTTCCTATGGAGGGTGACTTCCAACAGCGGCTGCATCGACCCTCGCATCGATGTGACTTTGCAGCTCCTCCCACCCAGAGCTGGGTCTGACCTCCCTCACCTGAATCTAGGTGGGCCTGTGACTTGCCTTGACCAATAGAATGCAGCAAACGTAAAGCTGTGGGACTTCCTGGCCTAGGCCTCAAGAGACCTGGCATCTTTCGTTTCGCCCTTCTTGGAGCGCTGAGCTACCATAAAGAAGTCCAGCTAGCCTACTAGAGAGACCATGTGGAAAGAGAGAAGCCTGCTGTCCTCCAGCCCTCCCAGCCTCCCCAGCTCAGGTGACAGACATAGCCAGAAGCGGCCCCGGATCTTTCAGCCCCAGTCAGTTCTCCCCAGCTAACACCAGGCAGAGCAGAGATGAGTGGACCTTATCAAGCCTGCCCAGATTATGAACAAACAATAAATGGTTGCTGTTGTTTTAAACCACTAAGTTTTGGGGTGGTTGTCATGCAGCAACAGATAACTGATACAGTCCTTTAGCCCTTTCTGTACCGTCTTTACCCAGACTTGGCCTGGATGGGTGGAGCTCCTTGGCATCAGTTGTTTGGACGGGAGATGAGCACCTGACTTAGAGGCAGCACATCCATTGGCTGACAGGTGGCCAATCAGATTGTTTTTCCCCTGGAGACTATGAATGAAAAGATCAGAGATCCTAGCAAGCCAGAATATGAAGGCAGCTGAAGCTGGGGTTTTGGAATGGGAGCTGAGGACGACTTTCAGCCGTATGCAGGCTGTCCTGTCATCAAAGGACACCAAATTGGGGAGAGGAGCAGGAAAGCTGATAGACCATGGAACCAGGTTCTGTGAGGGCCCAAATAAATAACGTAACTCCAGTTGGTCTGCTCTGACCTTGCTCCTTATACCTCACGAACCCTAACTTCAGGCCCTGAAAGGCTCAAAGTCCCCCAGGACTCCTAATACTTGCCAGGGGTCTACACTGCTCCTCTGATCCCCTCTCCTTTGCTCCCTGTGACCTCCATCCCCCGAAACACAAACAGGTTGTGGCCTTGTCCTCCAGGGCCCCAGGGCATGGCCACTCTTTTTCCATCCTGGGCAGTCAGGGCTGATAGCCTAGAGACTGCTGCCATCCAACCCACACAGCCCCAAGGCCTTTCGTGGCAAACCAGAGGGTATGACCAGGTTTGGTTTCTACCCCAACCCCACTGGACTTCCAGCTCTTTGGGATTCCCCATTATGTTCCCCACGCAGTTCCTGAGTTCAACCACCACTTCTCTGCTTGTCCATAATGATGTCATGATAATAACAGTGGTCACTGTTGTACACCAAACAGGTGCCACACCTGAGATGGTGTTTGAACCAGGGTCTGCCTAACTCCAAAGTCCACGCCCCATCCACCACTCTGCTGTGTGACTCTAGGCAGGTTACCTCCCCTCTCTGAGCTTCAGATTCACACTTCTGACAGGTAAGCCGGGGGGGTCATGGTGTTTTCTGCTCCCTCTAGTACTTACCCTGCTGGATGCTATCCTTGGCCCAGTCCACTTGCTTGTCCAAGCGTAGGCTCCCAGTCTTATCACCCTTTCTCTTTAAGGTATGCTGCATCCTGAAGGAACAGGCCTGGAGGCTGCCTCTGGTCTTGGTCTTCTGGAAAGCAGGCTAAACTCTCAGGATTCAGTATCTTGCCTTTTCCCCAGTAGCTTGGACTCAGGCTGAAAGGTGAGCAGAGAAGCCAGCTCCCTACAGGGCTTGACGTGGCAGGACACCCTGACTCCACAACCTCACTGGGTCTGAGGCAGACTGCGGTCATGTGGTGAGTGGTATCTGTGCCTTCTCTTTCTCTGCCGGAGGCTGTCAGGCCATGGAGAGAGTAACCTCTCCAGTCTGACTTTCCACACTATTCCCCCTTAAATCTGCCAGGATTCTTAGCAGTTGAGTTCATTACCCTCGTCTATAGATGAAGGTCACACAGTCAGGAAGGGGCAGCATTAAAAGCCAAGCTGCCTGCCGCCCAGCTTGGGCTTTTCCTGGGGCCCAGGCTCTTTGGCTTGGGCCAACCCAGCCCCCTGACCCGGGGTTCCCACATCCCCGTGAACTGACTCTCTCCCCCATCTGAAAACAACCTCACAATTTTCTCCTGTACTGAATTTCCTCAGGGGTCCTGTTCCCTCCCAGTAGCTGGGAAGACATTGGCCCTGCTCTTCCTAGAACCTCGTGAAGCCCGAGGGATCCCGGCATCCCAGATGGGTTAATAATCCCATGGGCTGCCTTCTGTGTGAGGTCGGTGCCCACCAGGGCATCCAGGGCTGTGGCGATGGAGAGCCTATGCTCTGGTCTCTCTCTGGAGATGGGCAGGGCCTGTCGAGTTCTTGAAGCCTCATGCGATACCACTGGCCTCTTGTTGCATACAAGCCACACCCATGTCCAAGGACTCCTCTCCCTGCTCTTGAGGTCCCCAAAGTTGTCTCCTGCCAGATGGGGGGGTCCCCAGGCCTGGCCCTGAGGAGCCCTGAGCCAGGCTTAGAAGTCTGCGGCTCTGGAATTTCCAGGCCCTGGTCCTGTCACTTAGAAGCTGCGTGACTTTGGCTAAGCTACCACCCTCTCTGCTCCTGGCTCTGCATCACAGTTGGACCCAAGAGTAATCACCACCACCACCACTGGTAGAGGGTTTACTGAGTGCCAGGCACTACATCAATCAGCAAATATACCTATGCTCCCTCATTTAACCTCCTAATGGCCAAAAGTCTTAAGATCATCTTTATGTTACGGATGAGAAGACCGAGGCTCAGAGGGGTTAAGAAACAGTCCCAAACAGCTAGTAAGTGCTAGAACGGGACCTCAAACTCAGACCTGACCTCAAACCTCAGGGTCTTATCTTCACTAGTCTAGGCTGCCCCCCCAACCCCGGGACCAGCAACCTTTTCCACATCAAAATTCTAGGATCCTGTGGGGAGAGGATCCTGTTTCTTCCCAGGATAAAAGCACAGTTCAGAGGGCTTGAGGCTTCCCCAGAACCAGGGACAGTCTGGGGTGGTGGTTGGGAGATGAGGGCAAGTGTACACAGACTGCCTGGAGCAGAGCAGGCTCCCGGGTACATCTGTAAACTGAATGAATGAATGAGTGAATGAATGAATGAGTGCCAACTCCATGCCAGACTCTGCTCACCCTGCCATCCCACCAGAGGCTTGGTTTAGAAGTTGCTAGGCATGCAGCTACCCAGTTCATGCCAGCATGGGTGGTGGGGGGGTGTGATCCCCAGGAGGAGCCCTGATTGGAGGAGCTTCATCCTTGGAGTTTCTTGCTGCTGAGGGCTGACTTCCCTATTGCATCCCCCCACTCCCAAGTTCAGCTAAGTTTGTACCCGTGGGTTCCTGCATTGCTGGATTCTCCCCTAGCCTGAGGGTTAATGGGCAGCAGGGTCACCCTGGGCCCACTGTGGGGCTGAATCCAAGGAGTCCCCGAGTAGAAAGAGGAAACTTGGAAGGGTGAAGCCAAGCTTTCCTGAACCTGGTGCCCCCACCTGTCTGACAGAGATGGGGGGTGAGCACATGGTCTTCTGGCTGAGCTTCGGCCCCAGATTCTAGAGCCCATGGATTCCGCGAAAGTTACAAGCTGACCTGTCTGGCTCTTCACACTTCTATCATCACTCAGAGCATCCCTTTCCAGGGTTGAGTTTGGAGCGTCTAGGTTTGGTGAGAATGAACAGGGCCACTTCTGACTCTCCTGGTCAGCTCACATGCAGGTGGCTCCCAATCCCAAACCCAGAGCCCTTCAAAGCCCAGGGGAGGCTCAGAGTAAAGCCTGGTGGAAGATGGGGCATGACTGGGGTTGGTGACCTGGGTCTGGGCAGTCCTAAGGGCAGCCCCAGAACTGCCTTCCTAGCCCCAAAGACTGGGGACTCTACATGGGAAGTGGCATACAGTAGGCACTTGATAAATGCTTATGGAAAGAAGGCTTGGAGAGATCTGGTGTTCCCAATCCCTGGGTAGGTCCAGGTCGAAGCTGCAAGGGGCTTCTGCCTGGGGGGACCCCACACCAGAGGTGGTGGAAGCGATGATGCTCATGGGCCTTGGGACTCCTCGGGGGGGGGGGGGTTAGAGCCCTGGCCATCCAGGAAATGCTTGTGGTCACCACCAGGCAGCTGTCCTGGGAGAAGCCTCTGGAAGTCCCTGGAGGCGGCCTTCCCCTGGCATGCCCCCAACCCTGACACCATGAAGATCCCTTAGGAGCCCCACCACCCACAGTGAGATAATAATGACCATAATGAGAACAGTCACCCACACATGTGCACAGCACTTTACAGGTTACAAAGTGTTTCACATACATCATCTCATCAATTCCTCACAACAGCCCTGTGAGGTAGGCAGGGCGGGGAGTAGCGTTTCCGTTTATACAGATGTGGAGACTGAGGCCCAGAGAGGGTCAATGACCTGTTCGAGGCCACACAGCAAGTCAGCAGCAAAGCTGGGACCAGAGTTAGGCCTCGGCCCCTGGCTCTCTCCACTGACTGTGCTGTCCTCCAGGAGGACCCCAGCCCCTGTCCAGAGTCTCAGCCACACCCGAGTCAGGCCCCGCCCCCTGGCAGTAGTGCTGCCTGGCAGCTCAGCAGACAGGCCCTCACCCCCATTGGGCAGCCCTGTCCCCTCCACCCACTCTCTGCAAACAGTCAGCCCAGAGCTGGGCCCAGACCCACCACCAAACCTGCTCCTGGCGACTGCCCTGGCCGGGTGGGCAGGCAAGTGGGGCTGGAACCTCCTTCCCTGTTTTCCTGAGTGATCCCTCCCCACAGGGGAAGAGAAGAGAAAGGAGGAAGAGGAGGAAGAGAAAAACAAGAAACTGAGTTGGAAGAGGGCCCTGGAGCAATCAGGACGTCAAAAGTTTGCATTCCGACTATAGCTATAGGAAATAGTTTTTTTTTTTTTCTCTCTTTTTATTATTTCAAGTTTTCATAAAAATCCGTAATTACTGAAACCCAAGTTACAGAGGAAGTTCGTAACCTTTTTATTGAATTATTGACCGTGCCGTGTCAGCTTCCGACTCCAGTCTGTCAACGTGTGCCCCTGTGCAGGTGGGGTCCCCAGGCCTGGACTTCTGAGGTCCTGGTAGAAAGAGGGCAGGCGGTGAGGGCCAGCGGGGGCAGCAGGGGACGGCGTGGGAGGGAGAAAAAGAGTGTGCGTGGAGGGGCCGGGAGGAGGTGGGAGGGACTGGAGAGCGAGCGGACGGCGGCCGGGTCCCTTGCCCTGCCCTGCGCGCCCCAGGGTCCCCGCCCCCCGGCCCGCCCCCCGGCCCGGCCTCATATCATCTTCATATTGAACTTGCGAGGTGCATCGGCGGAGCTGATGCCTGCGTCCGACTTGCGGGGCACGTACTCAATCTCGATGTTGTGCTTGGTGTTGCCCTTGCCCCGGCTCCAGAGAAACAGCAGCACCAGACAGAAGAGGACGACGCCCAGGAAAGAGATGAAGCCCATGGTGGTGGCGATGATGAGGGTCTTGATGTCGAAGGGGAAAGGCACGGTGGCGCGGGTGCTGTTGGCCTCTCCCTCGCCCGGCTGGTTGGAGATGAAGGCGAAGGTCTTGTTGGGCTGATGGGGCCAGTCGGGCGAGTAGCTGCGCACGTGCAGGTGGGCAGGCATGGAATCGTTGCCGCCCGCGTTGGCCGCGATGCACAGGTAAGTGCCGTTGTCCTGTACCTGGGCGTAGCGCACCTCCAGCGTGCCATCGGGGAAGACCGTGAGCCGCCCGTTGCTCTTGGCCGAGACCAGGTGCTTGCGGGGCGAGAGCCAGAGGATGGCGGGCGGCGGGTCGCCATCCGCCCGGCACACGAACTGCACTGTGTGGCCCTCGTCCACAAACACCTGCTGGGCCTTGCGGTCCCGGATGCGGGCGCGGCGGCAGGTGAAGTAGTTGGGCAGGAGCACGTCGGGGAAGTCCTTGAACTCCTTGCCCTGGACGAACTCGGGCGTGGCACACGTGGGCTGCTGCCGGTTGAAGTTGAGCCGCCAGCGGCGCCGGAACACCCACAGGAGCCGGCAGTCGCAGGCCAGTGGGTTGGAGTCCAGGATGAGCGTCTCCAGGTTGCCCACCGAGTGGAAGGCCGACTCCTCCAGTGTGGTCAGCTGGTTGCCGGAGACATTGAGCACGCGCAGGTAGTTGAGGCCGCGGAAGGCGTAGGGCTCCACCACGGCCAGCTGCCCACCCACCAGCTGGATCTCCTGCAGCCTTAGCAGCTCATGCAACATGGAGCCCTCGATGGTGTTGATGGGGTTGTAGGAGAGGTTGAGGAAGCGGAGATAGACCAGGTGGCGCACCGCCAGGTAGGGCACAGCAGTCAGGTTGCAGTGCGTGATAGACAGGGACGTCAGGTTGAGGCCATAGAGACAGTTGGGAGTCATGGTGTCCAAGTAGGGCCAGTGAGAGATCTCCAAGACCTTGAGCCGGTACAACCTCTTGAAGGAATAGTCCCGGATGGCATTGATGTTGAGGTGCCGGAGCCGCAGGACGATGAGACCGTGCAGGTGGGACAGCGCCTCAGTGGGGATGGAGGTCAGGTTGCATTTCTCCAGCGTCAGCTGCTCCAGGCTGTTGAGGCCGCTGAAGGCTCGGTGGGAGATGTAGACGAGGTCGTTGTCGCCGACTTCCAGTGACTTGAGGTTGTACAGGTCCTGGAACATGTAGTCCAGCAGGATGACGATCTTGTTCTCGCTGATGTCCAGCTTGGTCAGGTTACTGAGGCCGGTGAAGACGCCCAGGGGGATGAGCTTCAGGCGGTTGCTGCGGAGCCCCAGCGTCCGGAGGTTGAAGAGGTTGTTGAAGGCACCAGGCTCCACGGCGCTCACGATGTTCTCATTGAGCTCCAGCTCCTCCAGGTGCGGAAAGCCGGCAAACTCGTCCTGGTTGAGCGTTTTGATGCGGTTCTTGCCCAGGTCCAGCAGGCGGGTCTCAGTGGGGATGCCCTCAGGCACCGCCACAAAGCGCTTGCGGTGGCAGAGCACTGCGCGGTCCTGGGCGGAGCACTCGCAGCGGGGCGGGCAGCCTGTGGCTGAGCCTGACAGCACCGAGCCCAGCACCAGCAGGAGGATGGGCTGCCAGCAGGCCAGGAGGGGGCTGGGCATGCTCCTCACGCCCCCCGCCAGCATCCTCTTGCTCACCTGTGGCCAGGAGCAAGCACAGGACAGAGGGGGCGGTTAGAGGGCAGTGTCTGCTGTACCCCCGCCCAGAGCCCGCTGTGCCCTCTGCCCTCCTGCCCTGTCAGGATGTCCCTGACACAGAGAGAGAGGCAGGGGTCCAGAGTGGCATATGACACCTGCCTGGGACCCCACAGTGAGGTCCAGATGCCCAGGCCAGAGGGCCTCCTGCCACCCCATGCTGCTTCCTCCTTGCCCCTTACCCCACCCAGAGCCCTCCTGAAGGACTCTCCGGCAACCCTGGGATCCAGGGGGATCATGAAGGGGCAGGGGCACTTCAGATGAGCCTGGTGTTGGCACCCTAGGCTGCATCCACCTCCTTTCCATTTTACATTTTACAGACAATGCAACTCCAGGCATGCACCTCACACCCCACCTGGCACCCTGAGCCTCAGCTTCCCCTGGTGTTCATCAGGGATAAAGCGAGACCTGTTGAGCTGCCCTCAGGGCTCACAGAGGAAATCAAAGGGGCTCAAAGGCTGAGGCCTCTAGGAATAGCCAGCAGAGGAGCACGTCTGGGCCCCAGCTTGCCAGGCAAGGGCTTCTGAGGCTGCTGGGGCCCCACCCTCTCAGAACGTCAGCCTGAGCATCCCCAGGCACAGACACCACGGCTCCCTCCCCATCAACACTGTGCTGAGCTCGAAGCCCAAGAATCTTGGGCAACCAGCATACCCAGTTGTTCCCGCCAGTGTTTGTGACACTGCTCCCCAGTGCGGTTTCTGGATCAGTGGAGGGTACCCCCTTCCAGAAAGCCAGGACCCAGCCGTAGTGCCTCCCTGGGGAATCTTTCCAACTCTACCCTTCGTCTGGGTCCCCATGGAGACCCACCCAGGCTCCTGCTATTCTTTCCTCCTGGAATGTCCCTTCCCCCAGGTGTGTTGAAACCCCATCTTCAAGGCCATTGCTCTGAGAAGCTTTTTTCTGATCGCCAGTTGGAACTGTACTCCCCCTCAAAAACTCCCCCCAGGCTTCATCCGTCTGTCTCTCCGGCTTCCAATCACCCTCCTCCTAGTAGCAGGGTTCTGTGCAGCTGCTGGTCCGATGGGGGAGCACTCAGACCCCCACAGCCCAGGGCGGCGCAGGCAGCCCTGGAGGTGCCGGTGCACACTGGGGCACTGGGGACATGAGGCTTGTTACAGCTGGGCCCTGAGGAACGTGCAGGATTTGGGTGGTGATGACAAGGGAGACGGTGCCGGGATAGGGGTCCAGCCTGAGTACAGGCTGCAGGTGGTGTGAGCAAGGGGTGTGCGGGAGCTCGCCCCCTGATTACTCTCTCCTAGCCCGCATTCAGAGGCCACTTGCTCCCACTTCTGCTAGACTGCTCTTCCCTCCTCTATCTCTGTTCCACCCTACGGGAAACTGGCCCAGCAGGGTCCTTAGGGGGCTGGGAGGACTAGTCTGGACTCCTTCAAACTCCAGAGGCTGGACCAGACGGTCTCTGGGGGCTGAGCTGAAGCCCTTCTACTGCTAGTGGGGGTGAAGATCCATCCCACCCAGCCTGGCACCCTTGGGGCTCTGCCGCCATCCACATAGCCCACACTCATGGCCCTGAGGGGGCCTCACCGTAGGAAGGGGATGCCCAAGCTGGGAAGGTCCCATCTCTCTGCCCCAGCTCAGGCCCTTCTTCCACCCCTTCAAGCTCCTCCCCACACCTGCACACAGCCTCCACTTCCAAAGCTATAGGTCTTATCATCTGCACTTCAACCCTTATGGCAACTGGGGCTCGGAGAGCTTGTGGCTGCCCAAGTACACCCAGCCAGTTGGGGAGGTGGATTTGGGACCAAGGCTCTGGTCTGTCGGACTTCAGTGACAATGCTCCAGCGGTCTCCCAGGACTGACAGGCACTCCCTGGTTGTTGATCGACTAAGTGACTGATTAACTAGAGAGGGCTCCTGGTGTCACTGACATGTTATAGAATCTGCAAGGTTTTGTTATTCCCAAGGGCTCTGTCCACCACCCCCCCTTCCCCTCAGCCCCTCTCATCCTCTCTCCAGAGTCTTCTGTGGTTTGGCCTCCCCCACCCCACCCTCATCAGGCCATTTTCCACAAGTCACACATGCTCCAGTGACCCACCAGAAAAGCAAACATCCTGACAGGCAATCAATAAGTAATTGGGACGGCAGCTGGGGCTGGCGTGGGTGTGAGCTTGGGGACCAGGAGAGGTAAATAGGACTTTTAGCACCCAGCTCACCACTGCGCTGGGGCGTGGGGTAGGCTGATGGAGAGGGTGCTAAGGAATGAGAGAGGGGATAGCAAGTGCACAGGCTACCTTGAGATGTCGGTAAGACCCTCATACAGACAAGAATCTGTCATACGAAGACTCCACCCCCTTGTCTCAACCTACCCATCTACCTCCTCTCCCACCATTCCCCCCAGGGAAAACACCCAGGTATCCCAGCCTTGTCCTGCACATTCCTGGCTCTAAACCATCTCCTTTTGGAGATCTCTCCCAGACTCACTGCCCCAGCAGCCTTTGTGACCATCCATCCCAAAGGCCATCTCCTCCATGAGGCCACCCCTGATCTCCTCAGTCAGAAATCATCTCTTGCCCACAACTCTGAAGTACCTTAGATTTATTAGTAATGACATTATGTAACTGATGTATAGCACATCTCATTCTAAAAATGATTTGAGCCAATGACCAGAAAAATTATGTTACAAGACGGTAAGAAGATAAAGCTAAAGAAGGCAAGCCAGTCAAGAAAGAAGGTCACAAAATCCTATATAATGATTAAAGGTGAGAGCTTCCTAGGGACCTGAGCAAAGAGGGAAATGTGCTCCAAAGCCTCAGCATTTGGCGCCTCTCCTGTGTCGTATTTTTAATCCTGGGTCAAACTCCCATGGGTACATTTCTCTCACCTGCTAGAGAGTGAGGTGCCTGAGGGCAGATGATGTGTCTGCAGCCTCAGACCAAGGTGTGGCACGGAAAAGACTCGACTGAATGTTCTTTGAAAGGAAGTGTGTGTGCGTGAGAGAGTTTTTGCAGGGGCTGAAGTCACTCTGATGAAGCTGACCCTGGAGCAGGCCCACTGAGCAAAGAGAGACCTGGTGGATTCAGATATGTTGATAGAAAAGCTAGTCGGCATTGCTCTGTGTGGCAGTCCTGGCAGTTAGACCCCCAGAGCAATGGGCCATACTCCACGGGACCAGGATAGCTCCAGAAGGGCACATCCTCCGAATTGCCTTTTACATGTGACTGTCCCGAAAGATGGGGAAACTGAGGCCTAGAGGGGCTACCATGGCTTCCCAAGCTGGTTCAGCACACTGGGCCTGGTCTCCGGGTCGAACACCCCCACGGGGTCCCTGTCATCTAGGGATACTGGTAGGGTCGTGTCTGACGGGGTCACCAAAACTGCTGAGTGAGCAACGTGCTGCTCCCGCCCTCCTGGCACCATTAATCCTGCTGGTTATTCCTGCAGTGGCCAAGGAGAAGTGTTTTATGCATTTTAATCAGTGTTTTATTTTGGATCCTTGCCCCCTGAAGGGCTTCCCACAAGGGCAAGACTTTAAAAATTGGACCAATAAATACAAAGGAAATGAACATCGAAGGCTGGCTGGTGGGCAGGCAGAGGAGAGCCATGCCCGGGCCACAGCATACAGAGCCGACAGCAGCCTGCGATCTCCCAACCCCAGAGCAGTGGGAGCAACCAAGCCATCAGACCTGCACTGCAGAGGGCCACCTGCCACCATCACACCCTCACTCACGTGGTGGGGCAGATACAGCCTGGCTCACTTGCTCCCCACACCAGCCACTCCACTGTGTGCCCCTCAGGGACGCCTGCCCTCTCTGCCCTTTCCCCCCGCTGTGCAGGGAGGGGCTGATTCCAGGGTCCCTGAGGGAACACACACAGAAACTGGATCTTCCCCAGCTAGAAAGTCAACATCCTCAAACCTGCTTGAGGAATGAAGATGAGTAAGGGCTCAGGCCCCAAACTGCAGTTTTACTGGGACTGGAAGGATCTGAGGTCGGCATCCCCAGTTGGGGCCTCACATTGGGGCTGTCCCTCGGGGCTTAGGGTTGAAGAGCATAACTGGTGGAGACAGAAGGGGCATGGGATCATCCATGGGTGGACTTGGAGAACCCTAAGGGAGGTCAGGGGTCATTCTATCTCCTAAGGCAGCAACTGGAGGCCCCTGGGGGCAGGGGCGTGCCTCTACCACGCAGCCAGCCTGGCCCATACGAGCTGGTCAGACGCCTACACTTAGGGAAGGGCTGGGACTAGCATCTTCAGACCACCTGCTACAGGCCAGGTTTTAGGCTTTATATGCACTGTCTTAGAAACCCTCACCCAGCATTCAGAGATATTTCCTACCCATTTTACAGATGAGAAAAGCTTGAGGCTTCCAAAAGGAAACTCCTTTGCCTTTAGGCCTAGGCTACAAAGCTAGGAAATAGCAGGCCTCCGTTCCTCCTGGTCAGGCTGCCTGCCCCAAGAGCTACCACAAGTGGAGCACGACTTCTTTCAAACACACAGGCCAGTTCAGAGCCAAAGGAGGGGCAGGCGTGTCGTGGCAGCGCTAGGGTAAGGCCCCCAGGGCTAAGGGAAGGCACTAGTCCTTAGGTAGCTGCATGTAGGTAACTTGCCCCCTAAATGACAAAAGCTTTTCCCCAACTGTCAGAAAATGGTATGTTGAACACACTGAATTTTTTCAGTGTTTTCCCACCATACCATTCTCCTTTGCCTGCTGCCACTGTCAATGCTAGGATCTCACCTAATTTGGGGTCGGCTGCAGCACAGGATGGAAGGTTCAGTTATTTGGGGTTTACAGTATCAATATTTCATGGTGTTCCCACTCAGTGTTCCTCAGGGACCGCAAGGATCCCCAGTACACACAGGCATGAGATCCCTGGCATGGAGGTGCCCACTGCCATCCCCGGGGCCCGTGGCCCCCTGTTCTCAGCCTGGCTGTGTGAGCTGGGGCTACTGTGACAGGCTGCTTCTTCAATGGGAAATGAGGCTGTT